ACTCTACCCGTTGTGTAACCTGCCAAAAAAAAAAAACAATAAATCAGTCTGAAAACCCTCAAAAAATTGTTTTGTATTTAGGTCGTTTCCTTGATTCTTGGAATGATTTTCTTTGACACGAGATTTACTAAAGACACTCTTATGAACTACAAAGGAGCCGCTATACGAGCAGTTGCTGACATGTCTTTCATTTACTTATTTCCAAGTCTTTATGTAAGTTGTTATTATTGCCTTTTGCCTATACAGGCAAATTCCGGCAATTGAGCAGCGCATTGAAATAGAACCGGATGGGCTTGAAATATACCCGGCTGTTACAAAAATACCTCCTTAACTGGTTTGCAAAGTTTGTCGCTCAGGTCTTCATCGGGGATTTGCCAGCTGTAATTCGAGAATATCAGGCGAATACATATGCTCCAAGTGCCTATTTCATAGCAGTTCTCCTAACCGATGTGCGTATTGCCTTTACGGTTTGTACTATATAAATAAATAAATACATAAATAAATAAGCCAATAAATAAATAAATATAGGGATTTCCCGTGAAATCTAAGGAGATCCATCTTAGAAGTCATCTTAGAAGTGCAAAAAATTTTCAGACAGTACAATTTCTTATACACCCGACAGCCTACTCAGTTATTATATATCTCATGGCAGGTAGATTTTTGGATATTATCATAGAAATTGAAGTGGCCTCTGGCTATTACAGTCAGGGCACGTCGTATTTATGTCGGGGATTTCCAAGGTAGGGTGGGGAAGTCGTGTTTCGGGAAAAGGTCTTATATAATGGTCCCTGCTATCCGAGCGGGATGAAGGTGGGGAAGAATGTTTGGTGCACTCGAAACAAGAAAAACTAAGGAAAGTTCATAAGAGAAAGCGTTTTTCTCTAGGGCAAGTACAACCCCTGCCTCTGTCGACTGAGTACGACCCACCTCCTTGGGGATCCCCGATGTACGACGTACCCTATTATTGTGGCAATACCACATGGTGTCCCCCTAAAAAATGCTGGCTTTAAATTTTGCAGGCTATTCTAGATCGTTCTCACAATACCTTCTTTTTAATTTGTTAAATATTATAATCGCAAACATTAGCACGTCACTTGGTGAGTACGGTATTGTCGCTTCTTTTCTCAGGTAGTCAAACTTCATGTAGGAAGAATTACTTCATTTTATGTTGATTTCTGAGAGGTATATGACAGGACAATCGTTATATGCTGGTGGGCGTGGCCAGCGACGCCGCGCCTGACAGACGAGTTGTCATGCCTGGCTGTAAAGGTCGGGGATGGAAAAATTCGATAACATCTGTCATGGAATCTGCTTGAGTTCGTATGAGTTCGCTACTTCAACTGCACCTCTGGTTTTTTGCCGCGCACGGCCGCAAGGTGTTTGCTCAGGCCGC